CATAAAAATGACCAGTAATTAACTATTTATAAAACTGTGTCTTCCCTAGTGACTTTTAGATTTGAAGGGAGAGATTGCAAACATTCGAGTTTTGGTGGTAATTCAAGTTCAGAATCGGAAATACATCCTGGATGATACAATATGTGGTAAATTAATATCAAATAAAATCTTCCTATTTTGTTTCTTTTCGTCTACCATTACCTACCATATTATTTTTATTCGGAACTCATACGTATCAATATGTATTTTGTAAACTTTATAATATTAATTGGCTAGGTAAGTATTACTTCTACATAACCCAATTACCTATTTAAATTCCAATTAAAGGAGTACCTACTGATAAAAAAATTGTTTTCCTATGCCATCAATGGTTGCCCACCAACGTTTTGTTATTAAACATTCTACTTCTAAGTTGGCTAGAGTTTAGTAAAGTAAATTGCAATAAATAAATAAAAAGTGTTTTGATCGAATTGCTTGGAGGCGCCGGGTATCGATCCCGGTACCTCTCGCATGCTAAGCGAGCGCTCTACCATCTGAGCTACGCCCCCGGTTGAAGACTTGGCAAAATTTGTAGCTCGTTGTTGTGCGACCGTGACTCGCTTACACAATCACCACACGCATGCGCGAACCGCGGAGCGCGCCCTTTTCCAGTCCAAGGTTTTGTTATCTCGTTGCGTACCTTCAAGGTTTATTAGCGAAGGAGAACGTGCACACTTCCGCATTGTATTAAAATATTGCCCTTACTTGATTCATTGAGATTTCTTTAAAAAGTAACAAATTATGTTTAAGAATTTTCATGAAAAATATTTATTTTATTTAGTAAGCATTGTGTTCACAAAAGGCATTCCATTCTTTATCGTATTCTTAGATGTAATCGTAAAAAAGGTCGATGCCTCGTCAACAAAGTAATTACACCCTTTGTGTTCCTATCTTGAATTTTTCTTCGAAACGTTCGTTGGTAAATTAAGATTTCGTGAAAAAGTAATTAGGGAATATCAGTTTACAGCTTTAGTAGAGGGAAATGACATTATGGTTCATTGTTTGTACTCAAAATAAATATTCGGTGTTTTATTTTTTAGCATATAGTATGTTGGTAACCTAATTATTTTCCCTACAGAGTTTTTTTTAATCGGACAGTGTGGGGAAATCTGAAACTATAAAAAATACAAGGAAACTGTAACAGGAGCCAGTAAGTCTTTTTTGTGCAAACAATTTTGGCATGTTCAATTTCTTGATCCTCGTTAGTTGTCCATATAAATGAATAAAATTTATCAAATTTTTTTAATGCTGATCGACTTATTTTTTTATACGGATAATTTCAATTTACGGGACGAAAAAAATCGGGACAGCAGAAGTTGGTCAAATTTCATAAAATGTTTTTCATACAATATTAATTAAGATGTGTACGTTAAGACAGTGCACGGGGACACCTACGTGTTTGTATGAGGTACAGGAGTACATTGCAAGTACGTATCAGTGCCATGACAAGTCCCATGGAACTTTTTAACAGCAAAAGTAAGTTTTATTAAACTAATTTTTCTCTAAATCGCATATAATTCAAAATGTCACAACGCTAATCATGCAATAGAAATTGCACTTTCTTTTATACAAAAATGGTGACGGGATTTTTTTATGCCATCAAGTGACGGGACGTACAAGTCGTGCGCCTGGTGATAAGTGAAACGACTGTCTATCATTGTTGCAGAGCTTTAAATCATAAATATCTGAGGGGCGTTGCCACCGCGTCCATCACCCTCAGACATAAGTTTTTTTTTTCAGTATCTAATGACGGGACGAACAAGTCGTGCGCTTGATGGGAAGCTTCACGCCTGTTCATTTCAATTGCAGTGCCACTCTGAGCTTTAAATCGCAAAGATTTGAGGGGCACCGCCACTGTGCCCGACACCCTCAGACATAAGTGGACAAGGCCCATGTGCCTGTAATTAAACCTGTAACCTTATCTCGCCCTCCCCTTTCCTGCTCCGAAGCACGCGTGCTGGCCTTCATAGTCACCGTTTTACAACTAGCCGTATTCTATCGCGAACTAAAAGGTTTGGTGGCATCTTCCTCTGTCGCACAATTGAGAAATGGAACTCCCATACAGGTTACGTATTCCCTCTGTCTTACGACATGGGGTCCTTCAAACGAGGCGTGAAGAGGCAACTTGTAGGCATGCAGGGTGGTCGTGGCTAGGACAGTGATTGTATCAACATTGCACCAGGTTCCTTCACGTTTCGATTCTATTTTACATTTTAAATCAGGTGGAATGGAGTTATCTTATTGACATGTATAAAAAAAAAATATCACCAAAGTTGAAAAGTCACATGTGCCTGTAATTTCTCCAGCACTCTTAGCCTTAAAACGAAACGCAATGTTCACATTACTGCTTGGTGGCAGAAATAGGTAAGGCGGCGGCGGTACTTCCATGGACGAAGTTTTTCACATGGAATTCTGCTGCTACTAAAGGGATCAGCCGTCAGTGACAAAGCGTAGTTATACATGGTCATTTGTAAAATACTAACAACCTCGCATATTACTAACATTATAAACAACAACTTGTTCCATGCATTTTTACAAAACATAATTTTAATAAACACAAGCATATATTTGCTTAGAGGGAGAACCTTATCTACCATTATTGACTACCAAATTGAGATTTTTTTTTAAATCTTTCACGTTTTTGTTGTATTATCTGAATTTATTAGATCTGTATTTGGTAATATGGACTTACATGTAATAAAAAAGTTCAAACATGTAAGGGTCCTCCTTGACCCCACCTGAGGTCCTGCCTTTTGCATTGTACCGCACAGAGTTATCATTGTTTAAAGAGACCTATTTAAGTATTTTTACTTTGGTACGAAAGAAAATCTGATTATAAGTATATATATATAACAAAATTTTATAACAATATTTGTTGTATACGTATATACAACAAATATTGTTGTTTATTATGTTAGTAATATAGTCCTGCGAGGTTGTTAGTATTTTACAAATAACCTATATAATTTAATATTAATTCAATGTATGCACTATACGGCACAAAGGAAAGTAGTGAAGAGACATTCTGGTGTGCGGCACTACATAAGCACTGTCCGTAAACGGATTGGGGAGATCGATACTGTTTGCTGCACTTCATTATTCAGTGCACTGTGTTGCAAATTATATGCCGTGAAGCTAATTACATACCAGTGTACAGTCAATGCCCTAAGATATAGACTTTGGCTTTTTTTTTGGTTGGCTAGGGGCAACCTTTTGGTACTGAGAGCTTTCTTAAAAAATTCCATCTTTTTGGTTGAAATTTGTATTTGTGTAATGTAACTGAAGATCAAAAAAGTTTCTTAATACGTCATTCACTAATGATGCAATAAGGAAGTCGTATCAAAACGAATGTTACCGTTTGCAGGTTAAAAGTAACTTCGTTTAACACTTTTCTTCAATTATGACATCAGAGATGGGCAGTGGGTTAAAACTTTCTCAAGTCGCCCGAGTTTTAGCACAGTGTTTGATGTTACAAATCTTTTTAGGCGAAAAAGAGGCAACTCCAAATACTAGTCTCCTTGCAATCCTGTATATTCTCACTACAAGGATGCACATTACGACTCGATTTTTACGAAAATCGATTTGAGTGCACGCGACCAAGACTTTTTTGTATCGATTTATTTCAGTGCGATTTTCAAGCGAATCGAGTCAGTAGAAAGGCAAATCAAATCGTCTAGATCAGAAAGTAATAAACATTTTCTAATAATATAATTAATTTAGAACAAAACTGATTTATAACAAATATTTACGTGTTACGTGTAGCTTTTGCCCTCGACTTCGGGCTTCAATGGGTTTTAACTCGGGCGATTGTCCATCTCTGTATGACACTGATCTATTTAGAACCAAAAAGTCGGTTATAGGATCAAGTATATTAGGGCATTGAATGTAGGTATGTGAATGTAAAAAGTAAATGAACAAGGGACAAGGCAAATATAATAAATTAATTATTAAAACAACCAAATATTTCGACTCAACAACTTTATATCAGTCACCAGTATCACAACAATAACCTCAGTATACTTAATTACAATCAGCGTATTTAAAATAAAGTACAAAATTCGTATAAAACACTAAGTACCTAATATCCGTGGCAATTTTTATATTTAAATATTCAAGTATATTACTGTGCAATTTATGAAATAATATTGTACTCGAATGTTAAATAATATTGCATTGTATCGTACGTAATTGAATACTTAAATAATAAAAATTGCCTCAGAAATTAGGTAGTGAACACTAGTCCGATGACCGAGGTAAGATATTTTTTTATATTGCCGTTACAAGCCATTGCGGGCGGTAAATCAGATATTCTGTAAAATTTGTTTATAAATATTTTTATAGATACATTCAAAAGTTTTAACCTTGACAATTAAAACCTTAAGTAAGTACCTGTAATTAAATAAACAGTAATCTAAATAAATACGTTTTATTGTTACGTCTTATTGACGTCAATACGTATGAATAATGCGTAAATAGAGCACAATAACGTGATTGTACGTCGGTATTGCCTGTCAGTCGAATGACCCACAACAATCATAAAATTTTGAGGAAGGTATTTTGTACAAAATTTATTTCCTCATTGATGACCAATTAAATGAGAAACTAGATCTAGTTATAATTGTTTCTTAGCTAATTTTCTTTGTTATCTTTACGATCGCTAGTTGTTATTATGATCGGACATTTATGTTACACTTTGTTTTATTTTGATGTACGGAACTAGCATGCAGCAACATATAAAACAGGTAGGAATAATGTAATAATCATACGTCGGAAAAAGGTGTTCACGTATATAGGTACATGTAAAGACATAGCTACAAGGAGCGACATAGACTTGTTAAAACCATCAAATATTACTTAATATTTATTTCGAATTTCGGATTTCCAGAAGTGGTTTTACTGTATCGTAGGACTCACTATTGACCTAGGAAGTTAAAGTTGGATTTTAAAGTAATTCTAATGGTGCCATGATAACCGCCCGCCTTGTTGCCGTTCCGTCATTTTTTTGCATGGCCGCATTAGAATTACTCTAAAATCCAATTTCGACTTCCTAGGTCAGTAGTTTCGTCTTACGACGCAGTAAAACCATTTCCGGAAATTGAAAAGTAATTAATTAATATTTGGTGGTTTTAACTACTCTACGTCGCTTCTTGTAGCTATATCTACACATGCATCTATGTGGAACACCTTTTACCGACCATTGGTAATAATAAAAATTAATTTCATTTTAGTTCTCGCCCTCAAGCGTGACAATGACAGTGCCTTTGCCGACGGAATCTCCTTGGTTGTAGTTGGCCAATGCGGCCACCACGCCGTCACGAGGCGAGCGTACTACATACTCCATCTTCATTGCTATCACTACGAACAGGGGCTGGCCTTTTACTACCTGTTGTGACAAAATATGATAATTGTTAATTTTAATAACAATAGATTTTTTTTAACACGTAGTAGTCATCTGCCTGATGTTACATGGAATATGGAATCTGATAATCTGGAACCTAGGTGCAGTGGTAAAACAGCCGCTTCCGCCTTGCAAGCCTACAAGATGGCAGGCCACACACACAATATATTAATATTAATAATACAAAAATAAATAAATATATATATATATAATATATATAATATATATACATATATATATACATATATAATATATATATAATATATATACATATATAATATATATATGTATATGTATACTTTGCACGCATTTAAATCTATAAAACCTATAGAAAACATGTGCATTTGTGGATTGTGCAAAAGGACAAAAGGTGCCACCAAACCTTTTAGTTCGCGAGGGAATACAGCAAGTTGTAAAATGGTGACTATGGAGGTCAGCACGTGTGTTTTGAAACAGGAACGGGGAGGGCGGGTTAAATTTGAACAATTCTTCAGAGTACTCGCAAGATATACATCCGATAAAAGTCGATAAGACCGAGCTTAATGATAAGAAATATCCTTTAAAAAATAACTTATCGACTGTGAACTGGCAATCGGTACTTTCTCAATTTTGACAACTTTTACGTATAAATCGGAAACCGGTCTATGCAATAATCCCAAAAGCTATTTAATTGACTTATGACCTATAAATAACTGACTCACCACAAGCCTCTTGAATTTATAAGAAATAATTTATATTCCAGTTTGGTTACCATACGGAAGAGGTGGGACAGATTCGACAAGTTTGACATTTACAACAACAATATTGATTATACATAGAATTTAAATATTTAAAATAATTAGCATAAACAAACGAAGGTTTTACATAAGAATATTTGCTTGCAAAGGTTTGTTTTTATTTACTAGGGTTGAATGAATTAAGAGCTAGTATGAACCGTTAGACGTCTTAAATAATCAAAGCATAGTCATCGAATGTGGTATCCAAAAGACTTTTTAAACACCCTTTAAATTGTATATGATTACGGTAGTGGGCAGATCAGTTCGAAGGACGTGAGTCGGCCACGAGTTAACATATCAGACTTGACCAAGAGTTGATAACCAAACAATAGACATTAAATGTGGTCTCCAAAACTTTTTATAAGTCTTTGAAATACCCTAAAAATTGTATATAATTACGATAATGGGTAGATCAGTTGGGAAGACGCAAGATGGCCACGAGTTAACATACTTTACCAAGAGTTGATAACTAAACAATAGACATCCATTGCGGTCTCTTAAAGGACTTTTTAAGTCTTTTCAAATACCCTTCAAATTATATATGTGGAGGTAGCAAGCAAATCAGTTTGGAAGACGGGAGATGGTCACGGACTATCAGTTCTGACCAAGAGTAGGGAAATGGTCTGTGGGTAGAAAATTAGTCAGTTACATATCATCAACTGGACCTGGACCTGCTACGCTCCTGACAAACCTCTTTCGCTTCCTCCACCCCCATCAGGGTCGTAATTCCCATTTATTCTTGGTGCTTTTGAACTGCACATCCCCTTTCTGATTGAGATATGTACGCCAAGGTTTATCTTCCCTCACGATTCCATCCACAAAATTAGTCAGCTTTGCTGGAGTTAAAAGTGGCAAGAGATCGTTTTGAATGGCATGCAAAAAATTTAACTATACTCGGTAGTGGTTTATAGATAATAGTTGTTTTATTTACTTTATCTCCATTATTTACAAGGACCCTCTCCAGCACGCCAGGAGTAGGTGAGCTGGCATTATTAGCGTTAGCTGCCGCGTCCGCGCCACTCGCTGCCTGATATTTGGGACGAGGAAGTTCAACTACTGTTTGACCATTCTGAAATAAATACATATTAAACTTGTAATTATAAAACAAATAACTGCCAAAAATCAGTAAAGTTGTCTAATATTTATTTATTTATTTATCAAGCTTCGGAATTTATTAGTTTTATGAAAGACGATGATTGCATGCTAACCCTTTTCCTTCTAATGTATTTTCATATTACGTTTTTCACGCTTATCTGTTCGCTGCAGAAATTAACAGTTTACCGTAGTTTACTGTTTAGACATAAAGATAATATTTTATCGGATAAAGGAGATCCTTAATAACAATTATATAATTTATTTATTTTTAACCGACTTTAAAAAAGGAGGAGGTTCTCAATTCGACTGCAATTTTTGTGTGTATGTTACGACTCCGGCATTTGTGAACTGATATTGATGATTTTTTTGTTGGCAAGAGGGTATCTCGGTTGTGGTCCTATTTAAATTTGAAGAAAATATTCCACCTCTAAGAGTAGCAAACTAGGGGATGAATCCGGTTTTGCATACTTTCCAGTAACCGATTCCAATAAAATTTGGCGAATACATGTAAATCCACGAACTTTTGAGGCTTTAACTCGCAAAGATCTGAGGGGTACTGACACTGTGGCAGTAACCTTGAGACATAAGTTGACATGTCCCATGTGCGTGTTATTTCACCAGCACCATTACCCTGCAAACTGGCACGCAGTAATGCTACATTACTGCTTGGCGGCAGAAATAGGTAAGGTGGCAGTACTTCCCTGGACGACTTTTTTCACAAGGAGCTCTTATTGCTACTAAACATATTATAATCGAGCTCAAATAGAGGTATATGGGAAGTACTTGTTCGTCCCGTCACTTGACATTATTAAAAATAATAATAATAATAATAAGTACCTCGTCATAAACATGGACTTGCTGATCATAATAGAGAAGCCCGACGTTGCTGATTTGATCCCCAATGAGGCTGACAAGTCGTAATCCTTGTTGAGACTCCTGCAGTGATGCTTCAACATCGAGCCATGCTCCATTGTCCACTTGAACGCGGTAGGCGTTTGGAGTTCTGCCGTATTCTATGGTCACGTTGATATCTAAAAGGTGACGTTTAATGCAGTGTTATTGTAAGTGATATAATAAAAATGGAAGTAAATTAATTTGCTACTCGGCGAACTCAGTGTAAGTTATATCGTGCAAATAGCTGCGCTTGTGTCACATATAAAATACTTTGTTGCAAAATACCTAAGATTGGGTACAGAGGTGTATCTAGCTCCTAACCTAGAATCCCCTGTGCTATGGGTAGCTAGGTCTTAACATCCGTCAAGTGCGTTGCCTCAAAATAACAATAACTAAGTCTATTACACTATTTTAATTATACAATAAACTTATAAAATGTGATTGGATAAACACAAAAAGAAGTTGGTTTACATTTAATTTTCCTACATTAATAAATTTGTTAAAAACAATCGCACATTTCATCTAGAGATTTTCTCGTTAAGTTTTACGACAGTAATATGAAGTATTTTCGAATAAATAAAACCCTGTATAAATACGTATAAACACATTTATGCAGGTTTTTTAAAATTTTTTACTTATTTGGTCTTTACGATTTTTTTGTTGTATGTACGGATCTAAATTGCATATAGCAATTTTTTCAAAAACAAATATACGCAATTTAGATCCGAAAACACTGTTTTATTTCATTTGGTTTTACTTTTCAATAACTAAAACAAGGAACTGTCTAGATGATCCACGATTATTTTTAGTAATAATAAAGGTCAACTTCAGAATAGCTGACGTTGAGTTTGGCATTAAAATTTTTGAAGTTAGACCTAGTCAAAAGGATTTTCAGTTTTAGGAAAACAAAGGATCTCGAGAAAAGAATTTCTGAATATCGTGAGAAGTGAAGCAAAAAACCGAATTTGGTAAGTACCTAATGCAAAAATTGTGAGAAAAACCACGCCGAAGCAATTTACTGTCTTGCGTTTCGACATTCCACAGTTATATCAGGTGTTGTTAATTAAACTTTGAAAATATATTCAAAAATTTGTATCTATAGAACTAACTATTAATGTTCTAACTTTGAAACTTTGCAGGGATAGACCCCTCTATCCCCTCACTCTCCCTGTGAGGGGATAGAGTATGGTATATTTAGATGGGTAAGGCTTCAGGATAGCTGCCTGAAGCCTTAGCCATCATAAGGATGATAGCAGTTTTTAACCGACTCCAAGAAAGAAGGAGGTTTTCAATTCGACTGTTATTTTTTTGTATGTATGTTACGCTAAAACTCCTGGCATTTGCGAACCGATTTTGACCATTCTTTTTTTTGTTGGAAAGATTAAATTATTTTTTATGTGAAATTACTCCACTAGTTTGTTATAATGATTAATAAAAAGTTCGAACACTCAGAAAAATAGCATAGCTTAGTTGGTATAGTGTCTGGCACGGTATGCTAGAAGACGTCGGTTCGAATCCGGCCGGATCGAAGGAATTTTTTCTGAGTGTTCGATCTTTGTATTAATAATTATAACAAACTAGTGGAGTAATTTTACATAAAAAATAATTGAAAATCAATTCAATAAAAATTTAAAAAGTCAATGAACTCATTAATACCTGTTTCTTCAAATCGAAGTGGCACTGTCTTGTGCAACTGGTAGTTGGGCCGCCAGGATTGTGACTTAACGTTGATCCCTTTCCAGCTATCGTTGGGTAAACTCTGTTTTTGGGCCGTCAGGAGCTGTAAGAGTAATATAATATCTGTACTAAGTTATTACACGGCAGTTTTAATGTAAACATCATCGTAGGAAAGCGACGACGAGCTAAGCGAAATCATTCAAGGTTACATGGATAACATAAAGCAATATGTAAGAGCGCACTGCACTGACAAAAATATATTAATGCAAATTCAAATATTTGATTACGAATATTCATCCGTATTGGTTATCAAATCAACAAAAAGAAATAGAAAATTTTAAACATTAATAATTACAAGTATTTGTTAGAGTTGGGGTTACAGCTAACAGCACATCAACTTGTCACTTTTGTTCGAACATCGCCTCCAGAGCAACGGAATAAGATCGGACAATGTTTAGCTATATGCCGCCGTCTGTACATTAAATTAGTAGGGTACATTAAATTTAAATCAAAGAAATAACTGTACGTTGTAGCATATAGTATACCAGGTATAAAAACTTACAGGACAACAGAATTATATTCATTCATCAATAAGTACGTAGACGTAGCGTGCATAGCGGCTGCATGTTTTGCAGTGTGGGTGCTGGTTGGGGAAATTCGGGGTTCGATTCCCGGCAGGATCAATTTGGGAAATAAAATTTTCTAGATTGTTGTACGGGTATTATGTGCTACGGAGTGTATTCCACTGATCTGGTATTTACAGTGCATTCCATCATTTCGTAGTGTCTATGTTTCGTATCAGGTAGTTGATTTGGATGTTTGACATATTATTATTATATTGGATATCTATTTTAGACCTCTCCCATGGCCTAAAAGGTAATTTAGGTTTTTAAATGGGGGAGACGATATTCCTACATTACTACGTGTTCTAAATGTGGACATTCGTTAATGGTATCCCTACCCTTACTATAATAACTTTTTTTTATATAAAATTTAAGTGCGCATTTGACCTCCATCTTACCTGATGGAAAGCGACAATAATGCCTATTCACTCTCGCCTTGAAAAGGCCCAAGTTATAACGTTCAGGGAACAAGTCTGCAGGCAGGAAATTCCACTACATAGCCGTTCGCCATATAAATGTGGAAGCGTAACGCTTTGTGCGCATCTTTGGAATATACAACATAGGGGTGGAACTCAAGCCTACACCTAGTCCCTCGGTGATAGAAAGGGGAAAGCGGAATTAAATCGTGTAATTCCATCGCACACTCTCCGTGATATATCCTGTAAAATACCGATAAGCAGGCAACTTTACGGCGGTGTTCAAGGCTAAGCAGCTTCGCTTCCACTAATTCCGAGCCTTCCTATAAGCCTCTTGCCACGGTTGTCAATTGAATCCAAGGTGGCCAGTTGGTATGTAAAACTATGTAGGTAATTTTTCTAAAATGTAGAAAATAACATTAAAAATTACCCACATGTCCCAAAGCGGCTTGGACAGCGCGACACTCGCTTAACTCGGTGTCAGATTTCGGGAAGAGCTCATGTTCGTGTTGCGGGATGAAGGCAGTGTGCACATCGCCCTCCACGAACGCACTTGAGCCGCTAAGACGAAGTAGGAAGTTTACGTTCGTTTCTAGGCCTGCTACCTAGAGACATTAGATACCTATTTTATTAATTTGACTACTATTTAAGATATAATTACATGATTAAAATGTAGTATGTTCTAAATAATTAAAAACGTTTATATAATATTACTGTTTTCCCAGGATAACGGCGACAAAAATAAGTAGATGAATCTGTCAACGCAAAAGTTGTGTATCCCCATAAAATGTATATAGATGATAAATAATTTGGCAGGACAAATTTGTTCAATAAGGCGTCTTTTACTCGCACAATTTACACACTAAATTGAGTAGCTGACGTAGACATTTTTACTTGTTTTAAAAGCGAGATCATGAAGGCAATTATACATAATTCTGTTTTATTGTATGTTATTTATTATTGTCCTTTATTATAAATTGACTTTAATTAATTGTTATTAATTTTCAATAATAATAATAATAATAACTATTTTTAGTTATAATATTATGTTATGTGAATGATTACGTTGTGGAATGCTATAACTATTGTATTGGGACGGTCCTGGAAAAATAGATGTATGTATGAAATAAATAAGTTTATAATAAGCAAAATTCATTTAATATATAATAATGATATATGACCAATATATGATTGAATTTTTTTATACATAAAAATGGCACTCAAATATATTTTATATATAATTTTGTACTTTAGTATTATTCAATTCAAATTCAAATTCATTTATTCAATATCAGACAACAAAGTCCATAATTAAACTCCTACATAGAATTACATCACATCAAATGTGGTTTATACCACTTTTGCGCTTATAACCACCTCATTTACTTATTTTTACCCTGTTATAATGGGAAAAAATAATTTAAAAAAAATTAGATTAATAAAACAATACAAAAACAACTTTATTTAAAACGTGCATGCAAAATAAATTAGAAACAATTATAGAAAATTACATAAATACTTCATAAATACAAAAAAACAACAACAATAATAGAAAACAAAGAAAAATAAACAATAAATGCCCTTGTAATAAATGCAATTGAAATTTAACGACAAATATTTCTTCCGAAAACTGTGGTCATCCGCGTTAATTTGTAACAATGATTCCACGTTTTATGTTATACCGAAACTATGTAAATACTTGCATTTTACTTTTACATAAGCAATTTAAGTCATTTTGTGCAAAAATTCCAGATAATATCGCACTCGCACTTAAAGGGCGATGTTGTCAATTGAAATACCTCTGCTAGTCAAACGATACTTGAATTAACATTATTAGAATTAATTAGTCTTTTTTTATGATACCAAGTGACGGGACGAACAAATCGTGGGCCTGGTGACAAGCAACACGCCTGTCGATAACAGTTGCAGTGCCACTCAGAGCTTTAAAACGCAAAGATCGGAAGGGTACTGCCACTGCGCCCGTGTCCCCGTGTCCCATGTCTTTGCGATTTAAAAACACAAATTAAAGTTCTGAGTGGCACTGCAACTGTTATGGACAGGCGTGTAGCTTACCATCAAGCGCACGATTTGTTTGTCCTATCACTGGATATCATAACAAAAGTACATTGACTACCTCAGTGGCCCAACGGTTTCTACTGTAGGCGCTGGGTGAGGTCTCGGGTTCGGTTCCAGGGTAGGACCAATTTGGAAAATGACCTTTTCTAAATTGGTTCTAGTCTGGGATTTCTGGGAGTGAAGTCCGTTGTTCTGTTATGTACTCGTAGTACAGGGAATTCACTGGTTTGAGGCCAGCTCATTGGTGTGGTTGTCTGGCACATATTTACTAATATATTATTATTGTAATATTATGTTATCTTAAATTTCATTAACAAACACAGAAACGTGTATCAAAGCAACTCATCGTTCGAGAAATTTCTGACGTCAACATTGTGAACAAACCTGGTATTCCGAAAGTTTAGCTCTAGTCTTAGCCAAAGCCTCAGTGCGGTCGCGACCCCATACAACAAGCTTCGCGATCATAGGATCATAGTGAACTGAAACCTCCTGGCCTTCTCGCACCCCTGTTTCCACCTTAACAAAAGAAATAAGTTAAGCTTATTGATGTTAGTGTTCTCAATGCAGATCCCGTCTAAGTAGGTATAAAGATGTTCAGAAGCGATATGTGACAATATACAACATTGAGCTGTGTTAATGAGATTTGGCAACACTGCGCCACGAATTACAAGAACAACTTTTCAAAGAGACAAATTTAAATATTCTACGAACGAAATTTGGTCGCTAATTGTTTTGTATATTATTTGTTACCTTCTGTTCGTATTATTTTTATGACTTTCTTGTGTTAAAATTACTTTTGGCGTAGGATTATGTGTGGCTTCATAACTAGATTTTCTTTTAATTTTATTATGTCAGTATCAGTTAATTTTAATACAATTTGTTCATTTGTATATTTAAATCAAGTCTTTCAAATTTTTGATTCTGATTTTTAATTTCATTTTAGTTATGATTATGAATAAAAAGATCGAACAAACAGAAAAATTTCACCGACCCGGTGGGACTACGTCTATGCTGCACCGTAGCATTGCTTGTTACCCACTGAGCTATGGATCCAGTTACCGAGCCGTCGAAATTCTCGTATGTGTTGTTGTTACAGACCTTTGTACTGGCCTTCGGCATTCGTCGCAGCTAGTGACATCTAGTGAGAGATTTTTGAATAAGCTTCTTCCCACTTCCTTCCACTGAGTCGCCGAAATTTTTCTATGTTCGATCTTTCTATTCACAATCATAACAAAACTACCGGAATTATTTCACAAAAAATCTCAATAAATATATTTATTTTAGTTTTTATTAGATTTTATTCATTTCATTTAATTTAATTTTTAATTGATATTTATACGTATATTCAATTTAAAGTTTATTGTAGGCTATGGGACTCTGTTATCCGAAATAAATTATTCTTATTATTATTTTTTATTATATTAATGATTTACGTACGTACGTTTATTATTCACGATTTTTAATTGGGCGGTTATTACTATTATTTTTTTATTTTATATTGTTAAGAGGTTAACATACAGTTTTGATTCACTTACTCGAACGTTACTCTCTGGAATTGGCTGTGTTAATCTGTGCAATGTGCCAGCGCGTGGTAAAAAGCCGGCTCTCGGTTCTTCAGCGTAGATGCGGCATTCTACAGCATGTCCTCGACGTATGATTTCATCTTGTATCAGCGGTAACGGCTCTCCGGCTGCTATACGCAACTGCCATTCAACTAAATCTGTACCTGAAATTGGGATCGTCCCGAAATATGCGTCGGAAGGATGTCTACATGTAATGCGAACCTTATAAAAGGTGTGGCGATATGACTCGACTTTATAAGCCAATCGAGTGCAGCACAAGCACTAGAGGTTATACTCGTCTCGGGTAAAATGTTGCGTTTTGTGCACTTGTTGTGCAATCTACTATTATTTCATTTACAATTCTCATGAGTTACATACTCATTGATACCATGGCATATATATATAAAGCCCGATGTCTGAAGAACTGAATGTAGGACATAAAAATTTCATAACCTCTGTGTCGAGTGACTCGCACATCGGTTTTCATGGTGTCGCAATTTTTGAGGTCTTGGGTTCGATCCCCCGCCGGGTCAATGTAGAAACTAACATTTCTATATTGTCTTGGTGTTTAGGTATCGTCGTTGTTTCCGAAATTCATATCACAAGTGCTTAGTGGGATATTTCTTTTTTATAACATCAAGTGACGCTTGTCCATAACAGTTGCAGTGCCACTCAGAGCTTTAAATTACAACGATCTGAGGGACACTACCACTGCGCTCGTCACCCTGAGACATAAGTTGGCAAGTCCCATGTGCCTGTAATTTCACCAGCACCCTTACCCTTCAAAACCGGAACACAGAAATGCTGACATTACTGCTTGGCGGCAGAAATAGGTAAGGTGGCAGAATTACCCTGGACGAACTCATTCACAAGGAGCTACTATATACTACTATATACACTGCTACTGTATTGATAAGTGATGTTGTCTAATTTATCATAAATTGCACAACTTTTAGGGAAAAATGTTACAGTAACTTTAATCAATAGTAACGTCATTATTACATAAGTTTTAAGTCCAATTTTACTTTTTTTAAACTTCTTCGCGAGTATGATGATTGAAAGACATTGTATGCCACACGGGAGGAACAGCTATTACAAATTTTTGGACCATTGAATGTCCCTTTCTTTGTAATTCCACCTACCACCACCAACCAACCTATCGACCTTAGAGCCCAATGTACGTTAATGTACTGTGATTGCCATATTTTAGATAAGTAGTTGATCTGTATTCACATGAATTGTATTTAGTAAAACTATAGTAAAAGAAGAGAAGTATGGTAACTCCGTACAAAGCAACAGCGCGATTTAGAAGTAAGGGCACGTACATATACAAGCCGCGCTGCAACGTTTGTATGGAGTTACCATACTTGTCCTAAAATATTATGGTAATACTTACCAGTGATCATTTCAGTGATGGGATGCTCGACCTGCAGCCGTGTGTTCATCTCCATGAAGTGGAATTCATGCGTACGCCGATGCAAGATGAATTCGACAGTGCCAGCCCCCACGTAGCCAACGGCCCTGGCGGCGCGTACCGCCGCTTGGCCCAGCGCTTTGCGGGTCTCCTCTGATAGACCAGGCTGTAATAAGTTTTCTTTGTCAGCTATGTCTATAGCTCCATAGCATCGTTATCCCAGTAATTCTCCATTCTAACTATATTTAGTTTTTTTAACTATATTGATTTTTATAATTCTTTTGGAAATGAATTCTAATGGAAAGACCCTCTTTTCAACAAAAAAGGCTATTCCCATTTAAATTTGAAGAAAATATTCCACCTCTTAGAGTGGCCAACTGCGGGATGAATGACTTTTGACGTCGGATTTTTTAGTACTCTGTATTGAGATTATTTAGAATTAAAAAAACTGTAAACAAAGAAGCTTTGATCGTAAACCTTTTTCTTAAGATAAAAAATATAGTAAAGGACAACATCGTAAGAATTTATGACAAAAGACACGTAATTATAGCAATGATAGGTAACTATCTTATAAAAACTTTCCGTTTAATGTTGGAAACCTCTGTTTCTTTAAGTTTTTGATAGTGCAAGTGTTTGAAATAAATATAGTTTGTTAAAAAAATTATTTACTCTTAAGTAGATGCTGCAAGTAAAAAAAACGTAATAATTACAAGAAGATAGTAAACACGTTTGAGTATTTTTTAAGGTTTTTATCAAATTATTTTGCTTACATAATGAAGGTGTGAAATGGCGTCAGATAAAAGAACAAAAAAAATTAATCATAGCAGTTAAACAAAGTGTATAGGGTGGATGTCTCAGAGAAAACGCGACTGAAAGATCTATGATAGTATATTCCTAAACTAATTGAATCACAATATTATTAATTCTCGCCCTCTGTCTTGAGGTAGACAGAGGGCGAGAATTAATAATATGACTTCAAGTAATAAAACAAATATCGAGTTTCGTATTTTTTTCAATGTTAAAGTAATCTTGCTTTAAAATGGACAAGGTTGGTAACGGAAATATGGAAATTATCAGTGCATAGACAGGATGTATAATATAAAATTAGCTAGCTATAGCATGTGCCCGTGGGATACGCTCATATTTTACGCTACGGGCGTATGACGTTAAAGCTTTCCATTCGTCCCTTAGTGTGCCAAGCAAGACCAAAGAAGGATTTTGATTTGTCGAAAACTTTCGCAATGATCTCCATAATAATAATGCTAAGGAATCGAGTGTATAATTACATTTTTTTATGTTGTTGTTTTTTTCATAATAAAATTTAAAAATAAATCAAATGTCTATCTAAACTCAATCCAAAAAAAATTTATAGTACAGGTGCAAACCATTAACAAAACGTTACATAGTAGGCCCAGTAATCTTTTTCGCGTCTGTTGGTGTACACCTGCATTTACGTGTTTTGTGTAATCAAATAGCACTTACGGCAGGAGCTTCCTCAATTATTTTCTGATGACGTCTTTGCACTGAGCAGTCTCGTTCGAAGAGATGTACTACATTTTCATGCATATCAGCAAACACCTGCAATTAACCGCATTGTACTGTAGCAATCGACATACGTCCCATCGGTGATTTGTCTCACTGACCTAATGAACGTAAAGGATATCAAATTTACCTGCACTTCCACATGTCTAGGGTCAGTGATATATTGTTCTAATAGCATGTTGTCATCTCCAAAGGATTTTAGAGATTCACGTTTCGCTGATTCCAATTGTGGCAAGAAATCTTCTTCTGTCATTGCTATTCTCATACCCTGAAATTATTAAATAATAAATCCCAAGTAGTTAGACAAAAAAGAGTGTTTTTCTCACATTGAGTTAGATGAAAATGGGTAAATTATTTTGGTTTGATATGGCAGCACCTAGCAAATGTTTCAAAAACAAATAGCCTATCTAGCCGACTTACAAAAAACATACTTTACAATACATTGTACATTGCTACAATATGTTGTGCATATATTGCTTATTTTAGTAGCAGTAGAGCTCCTTGTGAAAGAGTTCGTCCAGAGAACTACTGCCAACTTACCATTTTCTGGGGTAAAGGTGCTAGTAAAATTACAAACACATGGGACTTGTCAACTTATGTGTCAGGATGACGGGCGCAGTGGCAGTACCCCACTCACACACACAAAAAAATTTATATGGGTTAACATGCACCTATCAATTGTTTCACTTACTTTTCCACCACCACCACGAACAGCTTTGATCATAAGAGGGAAGCCAATTCTACTTGCTTCTGCCTGTAGCCTCTCAATGCTCTGTTCTTCCCCATGATAACCTTTCACAATAGGTACTCCTGCTGCTGACATTATTGCTTTTGATGTGCTGGAAGTATAACAAAAAATCAGGTGTATGCAAAAGAGCAGCTCTTTGCTCATATTTTTTGAAGTTAGTCAAACTTTTTTGAAGCAATAATGTATGGAGCAGAATTGATTATGAATAGTACAATTTATCCAAATAAATAGAAGTACATAATGCTACCTTTTAATACCCATATCTCTAATAGCTGTAGGTGGTGGTCCTATGAATATAACACCCTCATTGGCACACTTTTCACAGAACTCCACATTCTCTGACAAGAAACCATATCCAGGATGTATGGCTTTGCTGTTAGACCTCTTCGCTACTTCCAGGATCTTTGCTGCATTTAGGTAGCTTTGTGTGGATGGTGCAGGCCCAATGTGATAAGCTTCGTCGGCCTGGAATAGCCATGAGCCATAATATTTGATAGACATATAGATCGCTTATTTGCTGAATCACAGACAGTACATTACAAACAAGCTTATGACACAGTACGAAACGTAGCACGAAAGGGCGCGACTTGAGCGAGAGCGACATAAAGCGCGAGATACGGCTATCTTTGTACAGAGATCTCGTGCTTTATATCGCTCTCGCGCAAGCCACGACCCGTCGTGCTAGCCCTACAGGTAATGATAAAGAAAAAGGGTCTTGCAGTTATATGGTCTGAAGTGTTATATTGTGTCAGGGTGTAGAGTTGAGCATACTATGTCAGCAAAATGGCCTGACCCAGCATTATTTGAGTTCTTAGATTTCAGAATTACTGTGTAGCAATGGAAAATGGAAATAGAACTACTTTTTCAGATATTTCATTTGTATGTTTAATCGGCTGAGTCACCTGACAGTGGGACTTTATTGGATTTTTTTGGTTGCAAAAATAATTTAATTTCCAATATGGACAGTATGGAGTGTTTGTTGCTTAAAATATGTAATAAAAAATGGACATATATGTATATGCCTTTTTTTATATGTGGTGAGTATTGAATTGACATGAAAACTCCAAAATAAACCTGTTTATTATAATTTGATAAGAATAAAGCACATGTGAAACATTCAAAGCCTATTTGTAGAAAAATATTTAATTTTTATGAATTTAAACTTGAACTTGAACTTTTAATGAATTATTTGGGGTACAATTTATTAGGAAACAGGCTTTCCAGTGCCCTGTACTGTTTTTATGATCTTTGTTAATTTCACATACTAGATTTGTTGGAGACCTGTTTGATAGTGTCTTAAAAAATTAATATCTTAATTTCATACCATTTCAACATGCATGGCATTTTTATCAGCATCAGAGTATACAGCCACAGTTCTGACTCCAAGTTTTTTTGCCGTGCGCATTACCCTGCAGGCTATCTCGCCACGATTTGCAATTAAGACTTTGTCAATAAGTCTGCGAGGCACTTCTTTGATTTGTTGTGCATGGCTATATCTTACTGATTTACGAAGGTGGTTTGTGTAGCTGAAATAAACAACTCTGGCAATATTATTTTATAAACTATACACTACTATAATAACAACTGTATCAATATAAAATAAGAAATTAAGTTGTGCGGTGGTGCACGAAAGGAGCCTCTGGGCAATGTACCATTTATTACCTGTACCCTGGGCTACAATCAACATTTATGCCAATTAGAAAATACTTTCAACACAGTGGCAAGCATTGCTGTATGCATGTCATCAATATCAATACATACATATATATACTTCACGCCTTTTTTCGTCGGGGTAGGCAGAGACAACGGTCTTCCACTTGCTACGGTCCTGATACACATCTTTCGTCTCATCAACACGCATCAATGCTTTCATACACGCTCGTCGGCTAAGGGTACTCTTGACCTGGCCCTTCTTTATGGCCTCAATTTGGTCATGATAACTTCTCCTTGGTCGGCCCATACCAACTTGCCCGCTCACACTCGCCTTATAAATCTGTTTCATCACTCTTCTTCCATTCATTCGCTTTACATGTCCGAACCATCTAAGTATCCCTTCCTCTAGCTTTGTCACTATATCTTCATCCACGCCGCAACGCTCTCTTACCACACTGTTCCGTAATTTATCCATCCAAGTCACTCCAGCCATACTCCTCAAAGCTCTCATTTCTACTGCATTAATTCTACTTTCATGCTTCTTCTGCCAAACCCAACATTCAGTACCATACATAAGTGTAGGAACCAGCACCCCCCATGCACAGCCAATCATGCCTTTTTAGACACTTTCTGGCTCCCCATGAAGGTATGCAAGGCGCCATTCACCTGATTTCCTGCGTTCACTCTTCTTTCAATGTCTCTTTCACATTTTCCATCACACGTAAACATAGAACCCAAATACACAAACTCTTTCACTTGTTCCACTTTCTCTCCTTCAATCAATATCGTGCAATTCGTCATATCTTCCCCTCTTTCAAAAACCATTACTTTTGTCTTTCCCACATTAATTTTCATTCCTTTCCTTTTAAGAGCACCATGCATAATATTTACCATCTCCTGCAACACCTCCACTGACGATGCTAATACCACCTGGTCATCGGCGTATAGGAGGCACTTAATGAGTAAACCATTCATTCTCAGCCCACACATACTCTTCAATACTGGACAACAAGTTGAACTGGAACAAACATCTGGACAACAAAATTAAAAAAGCTACTATCACCTTCTGGCAGTGCCATAGAATGGTGGGTAAACAATGGGGACTTTCACCCAAGATAACACTATGGCTCTACACCGCGGTGATAAGACCCATGATCAGTTACGGCGCGATAGTATGGTGGCCACGAACCAAGCTGACGACCGCAATCGACAAGCTGGACAAATTCCAAAGACTCGCTTGCATGGCGACGACCGGCTGCATGAGAACAACTCCAACTGCGGCATTCGAAGCGATGCTGGACCTTCGACCCCTCCCACTGTTCATCAGACAGGAAGCGGCGTCAACAGCAGTGCGTCTAAACAGAGCCGGCCTTTGGAAGCACATGAGGACCCCACACACAGAAATCCTTTACAAGACTGTCAATGAGGAACCGCTACTGGAGGCGGTTGTGGATAGGACCCCAAAACAATACATCTTTGACAAAAAAATACAAGATACAATTATTTGAAGATCCCAACGAAGGACTGAACCCCAGAGAGGTCCGAGTCTTCACTGATGGATCTAAAACAAACTCAGGAACAGGTACTGGGGTATTCTCAGAAGACCTCAATATTAGGATATCAGCACCGCTTGGTGACCACAACACAGTATTCCAGGCTGAATGCATGGGCATGAAGTTGGCGGCAGAAGCAATCATAGCGAGAAGAGTAAAGAACTACTCCATTTGAATACTCTCCGACAGTATGTCAGTACTTCAAGCACTGAATAGCTATGACATAAACTCAGGTCATTTACGAATGCCATCAAGCACTCATGGAGGTATGTATACAAAACCACGTAACTCTTCAGTGGATTAAAGGACATAGCGGCTCACGTGGCAATGATGCAGCAGATGAACTAGCCAGGAAAGGGTCGAAGACGGACGCTGTAGGACGAGAACCGATAGTGTCCCTCCCCTGCCAATGGTCCAGAACAACTATACACAAAGGTACAAACTCTTCACATAATAATACATGGACCACCCTTAAGGTTTGTAGACAGGCGAGGGAAGCACTCCCAACGCTCAATGCCAGTCTATCTCGAATACTAATTAAACTTAAAAGGCAAGAGCTTCGCACTCTAACTGCCGCCCTAACGGGTCATGGTCCATACAATAAACACCTTTTCAATTTAGGTATCAGAGACAGCCCTCTATGCAGAGCGTGCATGGAGGGGGAGGAAACGACTGCGCACATCCTACTCCAGTGCCCCGGCGTGGTCAACTACAGGGCAAAGTACCTTGGAGTGCCAAGGTCGCTCCCCGAAGTCTTCAGCAAATCAAGGAGGCTGCTGAGATTCCTGGAGAAGCTTGGGTGGCACGAGTAGGACCCTGCACCCACCACACGCAAAATAGGCGCTTTGTCGTCGAGTTGCGGATACCAGCCCGTTGCACCAAGTACCAAGTACTCTCTTTCAAGACTTTCAAACAATTGTCCATAATTAGGTTGAACAGCCATGGCGACGCTAATACACATCCCTGTCTAACACCTTTCCCAATATCGAACCAGTCAGTGTAAGCACCATTTATTCTGACACAAGCACTGGAATCCACATAGAGAGATTTCAGTGCCTAAACTAGACTGCCGTCTACCCCATACATAGGCAATGTCAACCACAATTTTTTCCTTGACACTCTGTCGTAAGCCTTCTCCAAGTCTATAAAAGCGCAATACACTTTTTGTCTTTTAGCCAAGAACTTTTGGGTTATGTTTCGCAAGGATCACTCAATCAATATCAATATCATCAATATTACTCCTTTGCTGTCTCTACAAATTACTACTTGTTCTTATTATTATTTTTGCATAATGTATAAATAAAATAATGACAAATGTAAACTTTATTACGCCATTGGAAGGTTTGCTGGTACTTATAGCACAGGTTTGCCTTTTTTAAGTACTAGTGGACATATGTATGATTCTTTGATACTTACTATACATTTAGCATGTTGTATTATTATTATGGCAAATAATAATCTCTGTTAATGCTTTCAAAAACAAGCTCGACAACTGGCTATGAAACAGTGAATTAGTGCTAAAAAAAGTAAACTAAAACAAATGGTATAAATTTCAACACTGTGTAATGTAGACATACCAGTGAAAGCTGCTCGTCCATAATCAAATAAATAAATAAATTTATTTATTTTTTATTTATTATTTACATGATAAGACGAAGAGTTTAAGTTTGACTTTAAGTCAATTATTGCATAAATTAAATATTGATTGCTGTTCTTCTTTTTACTTATTGGTGGTGAATTTACAGGATTTTACCAATATAATTTATAAATATAATTGTTAAAATAACATGGCGATCATCACCAATGTCCAGTTACCTTTCTTTTTAGTAAGAATCTTGCCTAAATTCTCTAATTATTTATTTTTTTAATATTATTTCTAATAAATTTTACTCTTTAAATGATTTAGTACACAATTTGTAAAGTAACAAACTTATTACACATGATTTATTATTACATAAATGAAATGATCAGAGACTATAGCCAAATAATTGGTTGGTTCAAGTACATGAGTTAAATAAAAATGTTTAAAGTAAATATATGCAAAATATCTTACCAAATTTTATTTATCTGCTTCAAATAAGACATGGTGGGTATGTGGTTGTTCTAATCAGAAAGGAATTACTTAAATCAGAATTGTTTTTCATTTATTATCTAGCTGTAGGTATAGAGATTACGTCTGCCACCCAAAAGCCGGCCCAACGCTTGATTCCACAGTGATGGCTTGATAACGTAGCATTCGTCACGAATTATCAATTCTACATTCATTATCATTTCGTTAATTAAAATGTAGCTTATCGCTTAACGTTTTGGCACCGTTTTATCGTAATTGTAAATTGGCAAGACTGATTTCGAATAAAGAAGCACTAACATTGTTTGTTAAATATTTGTTCTGAATAGTTTAAAAGATTAATAATTAAATATGTTCGATGAAAAATGCCAATTCAAATTATACAAAACATAAAACTTTTTGAACCAAAGCAAAATATAAGTATAAAATTTAAGTTAAAAAGAGTGACAAGGATAACGCTACACAGTTATTAGCATCTTTTGAACTGTATTGACAGAAATTATTAAGCATTTTGTAAAACAAAATTAACCAATTCGTTAACTGTCAGTGTCTGGTGGGCGTTTTGTTCTTGCTCGTTGATTTGCATCAAAGAAGAAACAAGCCGCCAAGCTATCCAAATTGATTGCAAAAAAATTGGATAGAAAAAATATTCCATTTTTAAATAATCATATTTTTCAAATAATTACATATTTTTTTCGGATATTATTCCAATATTTTTCTTTAAATTGTCCACATTTGACGTTTTTTCGCTTTTGTGAAATCATTTTTAATCTCGTTTTTCTTTTAAGTGGCTTTTAGCTATACAAGTTTATTTTATAATTCACAATAAAAATAAAATGTATGTACTCTGTGTGAATTTCTGTGGCCGACTGACGTCAATGCCAAAAGGCTTAGCCAAAGCCTCAATAAATAAATAAAAAATTAACAATGTCAACAAAGTCGTCCGTTGAGTTTGAAGATTTCGGCATAGTATTTCTTATTGTATTTGCTCACATTGTACTCCCACAATACTCGTTGAAATCGTTGAACAATAGACTGCAAAAGCCCTTTAAATTACGAAGCTTAAAACTTGATACTGGCGACATCTTAAAAAGGGCACAGCCACGAAGCAAAAAGAAGAAGTATTGACACTAAAAAATGATTATAATTATTTTTGTTACTGCATAAAGTGCCTCTTAAATACACTTAACATGGGCATTAAAGGGTTATGGGGAATATTGACTCCATTCAGTGAGAAGAAATCATTACACGAGGTAGATACAGTCTAGAGCACATTTACACTATGAACCATTCTTATCTCAAGCGGCTTAGAGTTGAAAGTGTAAAGCTTGATTTAATTTGAAGTTTATATCATGAGCTTTTCGGTGAAGGAAAACATCGTGATGAAACCTGTGAAACGTTGAAGAAGGTCCACAGCCCTCAGAAAACGTGTGAAGTCCCCAATCCGCATTGGGCCAGCGTGGCGGACTATGGCCTAAACCCTCGTCTGAAAGGAAACCCGTGCCCAGCAGTGGGACGTATAAATTGGTTGATCGTGATGAAGATTGATAGATCTTGGCCTTGTGTGTCAATTCTAACTAATATTGCCACAGCCAATCATATTACTATTGGCATTCATGATATGGTTTCATTAAATAGGAGTATTATTGTTACAGATAAGAGGGGAAACTATTGCAGTTGATCTTTCAGGATGGATTTGTGATAGCCAAAATGTTACGGAATATTATATTCAACCAAAACTTTACTTGAGGCAAGTGAAGTCTGGAGGGTGTTCAAATGAGATGCTTGTAGAAGAGCTGCAGTGGTGCAAAAAGTCTTTAGCGCTTTGTAATGTTTAGTTTACTAACTGTGACCGCAATTGTGGCTTACGTGTCATGACAGTTGTGCTGTAATTGTGCTTCTAAATATTGTATGAACAGCCCCATATCTTTCTACATTAGTTTTGATTATAGTGATCCTCCCTACCGACCCTGAGGATACACGAGAAGGGCACTATAACTGGTGCATGCACAGGAGCCTTATAAGGTCAAGTTCTGACCCCAGACAGCCAGTGTATTGGGTTGTCACAGACCTCTGTCACTTGAATTTATCCAGTTCTTTGAGAGGCTAGTGCCTCGTGTGAGCTGTTTCAGGTGCACATACAGTACCCTCCCCATTTTCCAGATAGGTGCTGGAGCTGTAGGCATGCCCATTTCATGACTAGGAGCAGATGTGTTGCATGATTATTGGTGTGTAGAGTCAAGTCCCCAGCAGAAGCCCCTCCAATTGCAGCTGGATTTTCAAACTAGTTGATCCAGTTCTAATATTCTGCGCCTTTTAAGACGTCTCATAGAGTCTGGGATAGTCAGTTACCTTGCCAGCAGGTTAGAGTGGTGGTGCAGTCGCTTTTTTATTTAATAGCGTAAGATCGAATTTCTTCCTGCACTGTGTTGATTTTTAGGTAGTGATGGAATTTCAAAATTTCAAATGAACCAGGGCGTATCAGAAATCTACTTGAGGATGGAATTTCAGTTTTTTGTGTTAGTGCGATATTTGAATTGCATGTGGCACCCCAAAGCTCAATGCCGTAAGTCCATACTGGTTTAAGGACAGTCTTATATATGAGAAGCTTATTGTCAAGAGACAGCACACTATTCCTTTTAAGCAGCCAATATAGTTCGCGATATCGGAGCTGGGTTCGTCTCTTTTCGCTCGGATATGATTCCTCCAGGTCAGCCTACGACTCAGATGCATTCCTAGGTACTTAACGGAGTTGTTATGGGGGAGATGTATGTCGCCTAATTTGACTGGTGGGCAATCTTTTCATTTTAAAGTGAAAGCTATCTGGACGGACTTTGACGCACTAGCTTTGATCCTCCATTTTTTTTAAGCTATTTTGCAGATGTTTAGAGGCTTCTTCTGGGCTTGGCTAGTAATGCTGTATCATCAGCAAAAATAGCTACTGTAACTCCAGAGGTATGAGGTAGATCTGATGTAAATATTGTGTACAATACTGGTCCCAATACGGAACCTTGGGGCACTCCAGGTTCCGTATTGGGACAGGCAGGTTAAAGCATGGTGATGTGCTTTCTCCTTCTCGAACTTGGAAGAATCTCCCTGAAAGGTACGATGCCAGGATTGTATAATAATTATGTGGTAGGTTTTTATTTTATAAAGTAGGCCTTTATGCCATACTTTGTCAAAAGCCTGTTGTATGTCCAGAAATGCAGCCGAGCAATGTTCTTTATTTTCAAGGGATCTTCTGAAGATGTTACATACTCTATGGATTTGCTCTACTGTAGCATGATTCTTTCTAAATCCAAATTGGTTATCCAGTATTGCTGATTGTGACAAAAGTCAGGAGAATTTTCTCGAATATCTTCGACATTACAGGCAGAAGGTTTATTGGTCTATATGAGGTTACATCATGTACTGAGTTCCCTGGCTTGGGCACCATGATTATCTGGGACATTTTCTACAGTTCAGGAAAGTGGCCTGTTCCCATTAGTCCATTATAGAGACATGTCAAGTAGACAATTGCTTTTCGAGGGAGGTTGGTGAGTACTTTTTGTCTATGAGGTCAAAACCTAGTCAAAAGGGTCGGTAAATATTGTATGAACATTCCCATATCATTCTACATAAGTTTTGTTTATAGTGCCCCTCCCTATCAACGTCTTGGTTATGCGGGAAGGGCACTATGACCTGTGCGCGCACAGGCGCCTTACAAGTTCAGGTTTTGACCCCAGATCAGCCAGTGTACAGGATTGCAACAGACCTGTCTCACATGACTTTATCCAGTTCTTCGAGAGGCTAGTGCCTCGGGTGATTCGACCCGGGTTACTATTACTCTTCTTCGGCGTTTCTGTGCAAGCGCGGGTGCGGCGGCGGGTGCGGCGGCAGGTGCGGCGGCGGGTGCGGCGGCGGGTGCGGCGGCGGGTGCGAGCGCGCGGTTCTTGGCGTTTTCCCTTTCACAGTGCTGTAGTGACTAAAACCGTTACATCCACACGTCGAAGTTGCAAACAGACGCTGGACGCTAGACCAAGCACACACAGGCGCCGACGCTTGGCCACTGTGAACGCAACGAGCGTCTACGTATATTTGATTTACACGCACCCGCCGCTACTCTGAATCAGGCCTATAAGCATCTAATTTGAAGGCGCCCTTTAACTGTAAAATAATTTTACACTCATGTTTCATTTCAACAAAGTACTTTGTGTGATTGGTATAAAGTCTACTTTTAGCTTTGTAAACATTTCTATTTTTTTTATTTTCCAGAAATTTATTCTTCAGAACAATCTACCTTCTCCTAGAAGACATAACCCCAATATTTGTCCTAGAGGGTGATGCTCCTGAACTGAAAAGGGATGTGATGGCGGCTCGGAATGCTATGCAGTTCAAGGGTGCAGCTCCTAAATCTGATAAGGCTTGTGGTAGGAAACCAGACGTAGCTAGAAAGAGATTCAAAGGAGTTTTGAAAGAGGTGAGTAAAAGTTACCTTTACTCACAAATTTTGTAAACTCTTTTGTTATGGTCGATTTATTATATGTGCATAAAGACAAAACTAATTATAAATTTAAGGGCAGTGGGCTGGGCAAAATTAGGGGAAGCCTAAATCCACCAGTAGATGTGTTTCGGCTGAAATGATGATGAGAGATAAAAATATGTGGACTCAGAAGGCAAAGGTTTAACTGGATTAACTTCCACTTATCCCATGACATTTTCACCTTTAATTTATCTTTGTTTAGAATAGTTGTATGTGTTTGTGTAGTGTATAATTGAGCAGTTTTTGCTAATATCCGGGATCTAACTTTTATGTTATAATTATATAAAAATAATGGATTCTGGTTATTTGCAAAAAGAAAAATCATTCTCATTCATTATTTTGACACTTTTTTATGCTTCTTCTATTACTTTGCTTTTATTTTTTTTAGGATTTTATTTGTCCTATGAGGACTTATTACTCTTATTGTATTATGATATGGCCTCTGGTCTACAAGTAAACGTGCTTTGTCATTATCATTCTGTATTCTAACTTAGCCTAAAATGTGTGCAAATTATAATTTATGTTCGAATGAAAAGAGTTTTTTTGTTTAAGTGTGAATCTCTTCTGAAATGCATGGGAGTGAGATGCATCAAAGGGAGAGGAGAAGCAGAGGCTACATGTGCTCAGCTGAATGCTCAAGGTGTTAGTATTCTTCACATTACTGTGTTGTTATTTATTAAGTATTCGTATTTAATTATGTCTCATTCAAAATAAGAGTGACTATGTGCATTAAGACTAAAATGTTTGATAACCAGTATTCCCAGAATACTTTTAGTTTGTGTCTTAGGTGTTGTATAGTTCTTGAATCTTTTTGAATTTAACAGTGTCATATTTTTAGTGTGGTGTTTCTGGTCCGTTCTTGACCATTACTGGCTATGGCAGAATATCAGTGAAGTCTGTGTGCTAGTAGCCATTTGTAGCTGGGATATAGGCTTAATGCACATTTTTGTTAATTAATAATTAATTTGTATTATCTTAAACAAAAAAAAAACGTTCCAGGCTATCGTCCTATTTTCCGAAAAATAGTTTCATTTCCTATGTGTAGCGATCGCGAAAACCTAACAACTCGTAACTTACTTTTTTATTCTGTTACACGTCAATTAAAATCATTGTGATATTAATTTTGTTTGGATTTCAAGGTGGTCAAGCCAACAAGTCTTAGGCTCAATTTATACTGCTACAGAACAGAATGGAACCAAATTCATATGGCGAAATTGTACACACGCCAGCACATCAAGCTACACATTGACGTATCTTGTTCCGTTGCACTGGAGGAGATTTTCGAAAAAAAATGAATAGTCTGATGTGCCGTTGTCCGTACATATATTGATGAAATTTATGTCATATGTGTAACATACAAATTATTACTGTCAAATGAGTAACACTCGACCAAATCAATAGACAATGATAATATGAAGCTTCATTCGTTTTTTTTTTATAACATCAAGTGACGGGACGAACAAGTCGTGCGCCTGATGGTAAGCTACACGACTGTACATGATAATTACAGTGCCACTCAGAGCTTTAAAATGCGAAGATCTTAGGGGCACTACAACTGCGCTCATCACCCTGAGACGTAAGTTGACAAGTCCCATGTGCCTGTGATTTCACCAGCACCCTTACCCTTCAAAACCGGAACACAGTAATGCTGGTATTACCTACTGCTTGGCAGCAGAAATAGATAAGTATCTTTTAATTTGGTCGATTACTTTATTGCTGATTTCACAGTAATTGCTTCGGACGGATGTCGGATAGAGAACGGGAGTAGATCCCTAGATACGATACGTTAGTTTCGGGAATTCCCGAGACTGCTCGAGAATTCTCCGAAAGACGCGCGATCTGTGTTTTGGCTCGTATCTAATTTGTATGTTACACAATTGACATATAAAGTTCTTAATGCCATGGTTACAAAAATTCGCTTCCATTTCGTCCGCGGTAATGTCAGTCAACAGCTCATCGAGCTTCGAATTCGCCTCGAGAGCAGCGTAGCCCGTCAATGTGTAGCTTACCTTCTATATACATTGCACCTTAGCAGCTGTAAACAGCAGTGACATTTTCTATGTTAAATGTAACCCAACCCAATGTATCCTTTATTTAAGAATACAAGAGGTTTGTTATGGACAGAGATGGGCAAGCTCCCGGCCGGCGCTTTGTTAACGCCGGGCTTAAATCGGGGTAAACATTAATGCCTGAAATCGAGAGCAAAACTGTTTACCACTTAATATTTGTTGTAAATCGAGTTTTGTCCAAATTTAATGATATTAATACAAAATGTTTATTGCTTTCTGATCTAGACGATTCGATTTGCCTTTCTGTTAACTCAACTCGCTTGAATGAAGTTAATTTGATACAGAAAATCGTTAAACCGTGCACACTTGAATCGATTCACTATAAAAATATATCCGAGTTCTTAGGTTTTCGCGATTGTTACACATAGGAAATGAAACTATTTTTCCGGATTTAAATCGCGTATATTTGTTTTTTCAAACAAACCGACGTTTCGGGCCCTTTTACAGGTGGTTTACATTTAATTTTCCTACATTTACCTAGAGATTTTCTCGTTAAGTTTTACAACAGTAATATGAAGTATTTTTGAATAAATAAATTCCTGTATAAATATACGTATAAACCTTCGTATTTATGCAGGTTTTGAAAAATTTTTTACTCATTTGGTCTTTACGATGTTTTTGTTTTTGAAAAAACAAATATATATAATAGTTTCATTTCCTATTTAAGACTTTAATCGTAATGTGCACCCTTAGTAGTCAGAATCCACAGAATTGCAAGGTAGGTATTGTGTGCCTCTTTTTCGTCTAAAAAAGATTTTATATGTCGATATAATAAGTATGTAATTACACCAAATTCCGTATTTTTTTTATTAGAAATGGGTAAAGACACTGTTAAAATTCGGGCGGGTTGATAGGGTTTTAGTCCACGCCCATCTCTAGTTATGGAGGTTCTTGCGTAGTCAAATAGTAGCTCTATTTTTGATGCAACTCAATAACATTTATGTGCAAGTATGAAGTTAAAATGCTCATTCACAGTTGGTTCATGCAGTAGTGTCTCAAGATTCAGATTGCTTCGCGTATGGTGCTAAACGTGTGTACCGCAACTTCAGTGTATCTAGCTCCAAGGGTGGTGGCGCTGTGGCCGGTTCAGTAGATTGCTACGATGCTGAGAAATTGTATAAAAGTAATGGTGAGTTACTTATCAGCTTCGTGTATTCCATTTTCAGCCTCTTATAGTGATTTACAAAGTTTTGCTTTTCACGCAATGCAATATACATACATTAGGAATAACATCACTCATTGTTCATTCACTTTCCCAGTTCCAATTTTTTTAACTCGCTCGATATACGATCGACCGTTAGTCACGATATACGTTTTAATTTTATATAAATTCATAAAAAAACTAAATTAAATAACTGAACAAGTTAAAATTTAAATACTATCTATTAATCGTACGCAATAAAATCGACAGCCCAAAACATTCTGGAGAAATTTAGTAATCGGATGCCCAGTCGCGTCACCGGTCGTGCGCACCGTTCGTGTTACGCACGTGACCTCGCTTACGCCTATCGGCGATATGCTCTCTGACCGCTATGCTCACAGACCGCTATGACATTAGCGGGCTTTACTCGGGTGTTACTTTAATCGTGTGCGATTGAGCGCGCGTGTAAAGATGTTGGAAGGAAAAGGGAAGTACTGCTTCATTGCGCTCATCAGTCACGACTGCAATCGCGCACTCCAACACGCGCCAGTTTCACGCGGTCTATCCTGCGCGATTAGCCTGTACACGGACACTCTTTCCGTTGTAATAAAAAGGTACACGAACTATCGCGCGCGAAAGAACATTAGTTCAAACAGGTAATCGCGCACGATTGCGCTTGCAGGTTTTCTCGCGCGTAATCCTTTACGCTTCTGATCACGCGCGATAGAGTGACTGTAAAGGGGGCTAATGACATATTTGCCGATTCCTTATGACCACTTTGTAAAAAAGCGGACATGTTTTTAAATGAGTACCCTTTACGTGTAGGAAATTTGTTATTAAGTAGGTTAAAGTTTTGACATTTGTAAAGTAAAATTGTAATAGTAATTTTAATTTATTTTGATTCTATTTTAATCTCGTATCTTTGACAGATAAGCTCTATGAGCCCATTTGCAATATTTAATAAAAAAAAGTCTATTTAACAGATCATATAAAGCCACCACTCCTACGCAGTCATATAAAGAAGAGAGAACACAATAGATTATCAATTTAAAAAGAAGTCTCCCTTAATGTTCAAAATACACCAGTACTGAAATTTACAAAACCTCACATAGTACTAACAAAACAGAAATCCGCACGTCAATAATAAGCTAAATAGAAAAAGGTTGATTACAATTTATTTCAGGATTCGGACGAAAAAAAATGGTAGCTTTAGCGATCCTTTGTGGTTGTGACTACGGAATTGGTGCTTGTGGGTCCTCAATAAATACAGTTTTGTCGTTCCTACATGGCGTTCATGAGGATGCTGTCATTCCAAGGTACCTATGCACTAAATTGTCGCATTCACAAATATCTTAAGGGCCAGTACAAACTGGAGCGTATGGGAGGGCGGAGCACAATAAAGTTATCAGTATATATTTTACACTATTGCAATTGAAATGAGGAATATATTGCAATGTTTTGAGACCGACAAATCTGAACATCGCGGCGCATTTCTCTCTGCGTCTTAGATCATTAAAATGTATATCTTAATTAAATTATAATAGCATAAAATATGCATTGACAAATTTAATGTCCTCTGCCTTGCAGTCCGCTGGTGATCACTAACTCTTTATTTAACCCCTAATTTGTTTATTACCTTCATGGTGCGGTGACACTAAGGCGACAGGTCGCCTTCGCTTGCCCGTCAAAGTAAACAACAGTGTAAAACACTGAGTCGTTTCACGATCATAATTCGCCGCCGTACGTCGACCGAGTCGCCTAGGTGTGAACACAGTCTGGCGACTCAGTAACATTCGGCAAGCTAAGGCTGATCAAACAAGTTTCAAAGTGTAAGCGGCCGCATTACCTACGTACCCGATTATTGTTAAAAGTTTCGAACAATGTGTTGTGTCTCTGTACGTAAACCGGTATTTATCATGATTTGGTGATTTTGGTCAAGGTGGCAATCGACTTGGTTTAAACAGCGCGTTGATTGCTCCACCTTTTTCTCAACTGAATTCGCTTGCCGAAGAGGCTGTAGTCGAGCCAGTGTAAACAGCGAGTTGACTGCGCTTCCTACGGCCAGGCGAAGTAGTCTGCCGACCGTTGTTACCTTTCATCGACTCTTTCACATTTCAAAATATCGTCGGGGATAGTGCAAATCCGCGACTGTAGTATTGGTTATATAGATTGGTTATATAGATTGACTAATTTGGTTGCCACGACATTTACGCGATTTGATTTGGTTTGTAAATTACCAAAATGAAAACTCATAATCAAATGCTAAAATACTCGTAATTGCACTATCCCCGACGATATTTTGAAATGTGAAAGTGTCGATGAAATTTAACAACGGTGAGAAACGTAATTTGTATATCAAATAAAATATTTTCGTCTTTAATAGCATATTAATTTGTCGCCCTTGCCAACAGTGGCGGGCGTGGGTGACGTCATAACCTTACAGTTCTTTTTTTGCTGAAGTTGGTTTAATATCATGAATATTGTTAGGTCCCAAAAGGTGACTACGCTTTTTAATACCTGTGCAATATGTAATTATAATTTAAAAATTAATTCGTCAAGACGCCATAGCATATAATACACTTTAATTTGTGTTGTAGACTGCTGACATGGGTGACAGACCCTGAGGAATTTGAGAGACAAACATGTTGGGTGTCAATACCGGGTCGGTGCGAACGCTGCGGCCACGCGGGTCGCACGCACACGAAAAACGGTTGCCCTGTTTGCGCTACAAACCATAGTTGCGTTGACAATGGACATAAGTAAGTTCAATAGTATATGCAATTCTTAGTATTTTATAAGTACAATCTAAAAGGATTTCACATTTAAAATAATGGTCAAATCGAAATTTCCATGAAATTAGGCATTTACAAACCACGAGTCGTTTCTAACTCGTATCGTATTATTTTTTTGTGATGTAAGGGGCTTAGATTATTCAATTCACGAATTTTATTCATTATTGTAAGTACTTACTGACGCGTGTTTAACCCTTGTTTTTAGTACAGCCTTTAGATTTAAGTAGCGTTCAACAAATTACAACCGTTTTGCTAAAAAGATACGAGGATTCTCCTTACTCTCCGTAATTATAATAGGTAATTCCGGTGTTAGGTGAGATATTCAGATATAATTAAACGATCTTTCGTGTAAAAAAGAAAACAATTGTTACAAGTTCTTCAAATTATTATTTTTATTCGTTTTTTTTATAATATTTAGTGACGGGACGAACGAATTTAAATATTAACAAAATTAATATAACGTTGATTTATATAATGATCAAACCGTTATACTCAGTTCATCATTTGTCTACTGTACTATCAATTTAAACCCCATGGTTGTTACGTATGCCGCGAGATGTTCCTTCCGTAACTTCAATATTATACAGTGCTTCTATTTCCTCAATGTCTCTCGGCAAACTTCGTCTTTCGGTTGTCGTAGACTATATACGTCGACTTCGAAGTATATAGAGTGGCTATTACATTTATTATACAACGACTTTCCTAGTTGCTTAATTCACAGGCACGACATATATTATATACTTCCCGACATACATACTACATATATTCCCGACATATATTTCCTTGCTTACAGCATGTACATGTAAGTAGGGAAATAGTTTTACAGCTCTATATAGTTCACATGGAAATCAAAAGAAAACAACAATAAAGTACGTTATTCTAAATTAAAATTATTATAGATATTAAATGTAATAATTATGGGCATGGAAATTAATATTCGTGTGCTTTCGAAAATCCGATGATTGCCGAAGGACATTGAGAAAATACAAGCATATCAATAACATTCAATTATACTTATTTGATTAGATAATTATTAAACGCTAAAAATATTATGTAATTAATAGTATTAACGGAACTTTAAAGTAATACTCAAATTTCATAGATGTTTTATGGTTGTGGTTGTCAATTACCCCGCTAGATGTCACTGCTGCTTAAAAATAGTTTTTGATTGTCGTTAAGATTTTGGCGGGGAAGAGGAAGCGTTGTGTAGAAAAGGGAGATTTATTGCTCCTCTTCTAGTTCATCAAAATACAATTCTATGTTTTCAAGCAGCTTTTCCTCTAATTTGTAACACAAGAAGCTACTTGTAGAATGGGAACACGTTGTTTTCCCTTTACTATACACAAAGTTTGTTATGTGATTTACATTCAGAAAAAAAAATATCGCTGACTTGCAGAACCTTAAACTATAATCAGGGCTCCTGGGGAATTAGTGATGTGTTGACGTGAATCGGTATATGTTACGAATTTCCGTGAATGAAAGTAGTATATACACTGATATTTTCAGGGCAAAAGTAACAGAAATAAAACGCGAGCTATCGCTACGAACGCGGGCTTTGTCCAGTTTTAGTAGTGGTATGCGATTCCCTGAACCGAAAGTAATGAGGGAGTTTCTCGAAAATCCGCCAGAAAAAATCGACTTGGAAGCTTTGAAGACTCCAACCCCGAGTTTAATTCAATTCGTGGTACGCTGTCAAAAAAAAAGTATTATGCATGGCATCATTTTTATTTAAGAAGTAAATTATTTGTTTTATTTATATGGCATTAAATAAAATAAATAATGTACTAAATATGTTTAATATTTGTAAACGTAAACTTTATTTAGTTTCTTTCTGTTGCATATTTTGTGATTTTCATTTTTGGTTAAGAGAATTAAGAATGTTAATGTTAGGAATGAAACTATTTTTCCGGATTTAAATCGCGTATATTTGTTTTTTCAAACAAACCGACGTTTCGGGCCCTTTACAGGTCCGGAAAAATAGTTTCATTCCTATGTATAACAATCGCGAAAACCTAAGAACTCGAAATGTTAATGTTGTCTACGGAAAGCGAATGAAGTACTTGGATTAAGTTGTATTTTTGAATCTAGATTTCCAAACGGCAGCTCATCAAGCTACACATTGACGGATCTTGTTCCGTTGCACTGTAGGCGATATGTAATGTACTGAACTGTACAAAAAAATGTTACAAATTGTTGTTAAATACTCTGTCCAACCATTTATTTAACTTTTGAGAGCCCGAATTCTAATCAATTAGAGATGTCCTAATACGTTTCCGATTCGATTTTTTATGACAATCGATTTTATTTATGAATAAGTTTTTATTTATGAAGAAGTTTTAATCGTGAATGTGAGCGGGTTCAAAAAAGAAGATATTATCTGATTGGGATTGTGATTTTGTGTTTGACAATTTGTGTCAAGAATTAATAATTAATGTTAATGAGGATTCAAGTGATGATTCCCGTGCATATGGAGAAGAATTCGACGATTCATTATAATAAACAATAAGAATTTATTATAATTATTTATAATTTATTTAATTTCATTATAATTTATTAGACAGGTGCCAAAATTTATCAATAAATATCGGAGCTAAAGAGCACGTTGCTTCACTAAAATGACAAATTAAAGGAGTCCAGGAAGTATTGTATTTTTTGTCTACGTTTGTATGTCAATAATTACGGAACTTCGGAGGCATGCATATGTCAAAAGTTACATAAATGATTGGACGGAGTATACATTACTTTTTTCTTTAAAATTTGCCATGAGCTTTTCGGTGAAGGAAAACGATTGAATGATGTAAGTCAAGTTCGCAATCCGCATTGGGCCCGCGTGGGAACTGCAGCCCAATCCCTCTCATTGTGAGAGGAGACCTGTATCCAGCGGTGGGACTGTATAGGCTAACTATTTTTATTTACATTACTTTATTATCTACTCTATCAATCCCATATTAACTATTTAATGTGTTTTATCTACACACATCATAAACCCTCTATGATGTGTTCGAAAACCGCAAATTACGACCAGCATAAAGATAAACTGTTTTGTTAGAACAAATTTCTTATCTGTGAAAATGTTATTAATGCTTCCTAATAACATCAAATTCGGTTTTATTATTGCATTCAAATTTCGACCATCTCTGAAAAACAAAACAATTTGATTCGACCTCAATCTAATATCAGTCGAGATGAAATGATGACTCGAAATGAAATGTCAATAGCAAACAATTTTGACAAATGTCACACGTTACTTGATATCGAATCGAACGATATCATAGTTGGGGCCGACTCTAGTTTATGCATGAATTTAAAAAAAACTACGGTTGCGTGACATAAGTTTGAAACGTGAGAAATAAGTTTTTTTTGCAATATTTTACTAATAATTACTGCTAATAATTCTGATCAATGCCGCAATGCCGGTCGTTACATGCGGTTCCTGAACACATCATAGAGAGCTTATAATATGTGCATAGATAAAGCAGTGTATGTACCTGTACATAATTAGGCATTAAACACTCGTGTGATGTTTTAATGAAACCACACTCGTATTTAAATACGAGTGTGGTTTCCTATGCCTGTGCCTTTCATTATGTAATAGTCACATAAATTACAATTTTTTTTTCAGAAATTAATGTCGTTCAAATTAGATTGGTCGCCCAGATATTGCGTAGAGAAATTTTTGCCACTTCTGACTAAATGGCATCTTCAAAAACATGTGCCGTGCAGGACCCTCAAACCGACTAGAATAATAAAAAAGCGAACCCCTAGAGGTGCGGAATATTACATACTTATACTATATTTGTATTGTATTCGAAAGGGTGAAATAACATTTGAGCTTTTTTGTAGGGATAAGTACTTTAAGCTTTTTCCACCGAGATTTATATCCCAAATCCTGTAATTCGCCCAATTTTTTTCGGGTTCCCCTACAAACTTTTAGTTTTTATGTACGTGTTGTAAAACAATGACGTGTGATAATATAGCCATCAAGTTAATATTTTCACAAACAGGTGTCCCAAGCTTTGAAGTAGTGTGGAGCGATATTGATGGTCAATACGAAGCGCTGATCCCCGACAACCAGTTTGAAGGTAGGTTCTCCTTATGCGTTCTATTTTTGGGCCCCCAAGTCTGCTAATTTTAAATAATTTCAGTTGTGTGTGGATAGTGTCATCAGGATTTTGTACGTTTGATTTTCTGATAAAATTTAAGGGTAAGAGCTTGTCAATCGCTAGCTATTCAACTGCCATTACAAGTTTTTGGTATTCTGCTTTGCAATGATACAGATTGTCATTATATGCATTCATTACAGTAGTCTTTCACAGTTCGTTAACTAATACCTTTAAAGTATAAGAACAAAAATAATCTATTAAATCTTCTTCGAAATCAGAGGGAGAAGATCCATCAGCACCATGGACGTCGATAGAACGCCAAGATCTCATGCGTCATTACTACCCTAAACTAGTAGAGGCCTATGAGGAATCCATTAAGAAACCTGTTAAAGAAAAGAAAACTAGAGGGAGAAAGAAAAAAGATAAGAAAGACGATGTTGATGTTAATAAACCGAAGAAAAAGTACAATGTGAGAGTCAAGAATAAAATGGATAACAATCGGTCTCAAAATTCCACATTGGCGAATGTCAGTGTTTCCGTTAACAAATTGAAAAGAAAACTAAAGGCTAGGAAGGGACAGAAAACAATTGACAGTTTTATAGCAAATAAGAGACGCAAATCTAATAGAAAATTGGAATCATTGTCCAAAATGAGTTTTAAAACTTTTTCTGTAAATTTCGATTCATTAATTTCCGATGAGGTTGTAAAGAAATGTAGTGAAGAAAGAAAAGCGAATATTCCTGATGTTGACAGCAACAAAGAAAACCATGAAAATAAACACAGACTAAGTATGTTAAGTACAATCGATAAGAATGATGATACAATTGATGCATCTAACATAGTTGAATCTATTTTACACAGAAATATTGAAACTAAGTTTGCGCAGTTCAATAATCGAATATATAAGCTGGTGTACAATAAAAACTCAACTCCTAAGAAAATTATGAGTAGGAAAAGTCTAACGAGTGTGCGAATTAATTGCTCTACACCAACTGAAAGTCCCATCAGAAAACCCAGTTTAAAAAATGTTACTGATGTTTTTAATCGGTCGTATGATAAAATTAATGAAAGTTATAAAAATATTCCGAATTGTTTTGTAAGCAATACAAGTTATTTTTTTGATAAATTGACTGATGAACGTGACGCATTTGAATTGTCTATGGATTACGCGAACAAACAAAAAAGTGCTGTTATAAGCATAAATAGTAATTGTACAATAGATTATAGTTTACCAGACATTCAGTTGTAAGACATACTGTAAGGAAATTACCATAGACATAGAAAATGCACGTGAATTTGTTGACAAATTAAAATGGAGTATTCCGATATGTTTATTTCTGTTATAAAAATTAAAGTCCGGATTTGGTGTTATAAATGTTCTAAATACAATGACGAGCTATAACATCTATGCCTCCATTTCTGAGCTCCTGAGCTATGTGCGCGGCGATAACTGCTTGTAGTCAGTGTCGGTTGCGGTATGTATGCTTCACCCATGCCGTCCGTCTAGTAGCGGTCTTAAACTAAATGCGTAGGCCACTGAGTGTGCTGTTATGAACATTTTACTACGTGCCAAATAAAATAGTGCCATTTTAAAGTGGTTTTATTTAATTCGTACCTACTTGCAAACTTAGCATTATTAGTTACTATTATAATTTGAAACCTGAGCAAGTTATTGGTTCGAAAATAGATTCCTGAGCGTTGAACAACTTTTTACCTCACTATAGCGAGGAAAATGGTAGATGAACAGACCGACGACGTTCAAATGTACACCTCATTAATGTTTATTCTTGCTTGTTAGGGAAAGGTGTACGAGATGATCCTTGGAGGTAAGATGATCCTTTTAGCCTTAGAATAATAACGCATAGAAACCTAGTCCGCACACGCTAAGTGAGGCAAATTGAAGCGCGCCCAAAGGGCCTACACGTGCGGGCGGGCGTCAGTCCTCAAGGTCAACTTGCAGCGCGAACAGATCAAGAATTTTAGCTAAAAATGACGAAATGTGCTGTAAATGAGTGTAAAAATACGTCAGACAAACATAAAATAGATACTAACATCACATCGCATAAGGAAGTAACGCGCTTCAACTTGTATTTTTATATGAACATTCACTAAAACCAAAAATTAACCTACTACTAAAACTAGCCTACATGAATTTGATTTTTGCCTCACTTGTGACAGTTCGTTTGATATGAAACTATCATTCTATGCGTTATTATTCTAAGCTTTTAGCGAAACTAGTAACGTCATCTAGGTATTGTCTTCAGTAAAATTTAGGCCTCAATCTGCCGTCTCGTCAGTCTATTCGTAATAGCGATGTGAGTGACGAGTTCATTTTTGTGGAAAAAACAAAAATTGTGTGAGTTTCATCTAAGGTAAAGTTGATTAAAGCTTAGGCAACTTCCATTCTTAGCAATCAATTGCTAAGATTTTTATGTTGGTGGCTTTGTATAATGCTCTATTTACTTTGTTAATGGCGTGTTAACAGTAGACAGCATACAGGTTATTTTGCCGAACAAAAAATAAAAATAAGTAAATTGGGGCAAGATGATTATGGTTTTGGTGTACGAAATGAGCCGTGGCGATCATCTTGTATTGTATATATTGTTAACGGACTATATTTAATTTGTATGTTTTCTGTGTTCTGAGTACTGAAACCTCTTAATTAAATAGCTTGCAATGCGAATAAAATAGTAGAAGACTGGATTTCATTTACATGATCGATCTCGATTAATAACAAATATAAATGCTTTTTCTTGTTTTAGACCAGGCCGCGTAATTGTAAAAGAAAAAACATTCGTGATGGGTGATCAGAAGACTATGATCTAGAGGCGTAAAAGTAGGACGCCACAAAGATCGGCAAGTAAATAGTTAGTAGTAGGTACGCGTTATGTCATTAAAAAGATGGGCTAAAGGAAAAAATAAAGGGTCTATCAGTTCAATGAAATATTTAGGTAAAAAAAAAAAGCTGTTTTCATCAGATATGTTAAACAGGAAATCGAGCTCGTAAAGTACATTAAAGATATGGAGACGAGGATGGATACCAACTTGCCATAAAACGATATTACCCACCCTTAGGTACCTGTAAGATATAAATTAATTAGGATTATTTGTTCTCGAAGTTCCGTAACTGTTGTTTCATATACCTAGATTACATAAGTGAGGACTTTGTTAAGCCTAAAAAGTTGTTGTTTTCATTTGTTTCTACCAAAACCTAGAAATTTTCCTAAATAGAGGCAAGGTGATCCCCTGGATCATCTTGCCCATACCCTTAGGATCATCTTGGAAACCCCGGTGTCCGAGACGATTCTTTAGTAGGGTTTTAAAAATATCCGAATATAATAATGAAAGATCAAAAATTAAAACGTTTTTAGTAAGACTACATGTAAATAGATAAATTTTCAATTATTCAACGCTTTTACATCTGCTTTAAGCTGAATATCTTTTAAACTACCACCATTCTCCCTTAAGGGGATCATCTGGTACACCTTTCCCCTATACATTTATTTAGTGTGATTAAGTGATTATTGAAATTATTTTATTGAGTTCTTAGGTTTTCGCGATTGTTATACATAGGAAATGAAACTATTTCTCCGGATTTAAACCGCGTATATTTGTTGTGAAATTGTTTTAATTCTTCGACGATAATAATTTAATAAACACAATTAGTTATCATTGTCAATTTAATGTCAACAATAACAAGAGCAAAATATACCAACGGATTTATATTACATAAATAAATAATATACGATAAATCGCGTAGTTGAACGTGTCATTATCTTTGGTTTTTCATCAAAATAAAAAGTTAGGTGCACCCAGGTCTTAGAGGATGGAAAAAAATAAAGAAAACCCAGGTGGACTACAGTCCATTGTAAAGTTCGAATTTCAAAAACCTTTTCCACGCTAGCGTGCAAAAACCGCTTTTGCGCGCAGATTTCTATTGAGAAAGAAAGCCTTTTCGACCTAGTGAGGTGAAAAATATATTGGTTTATACAGCACTTTCTAAATCTATTTACGGATTTTAGGAATATTCGGTATGTTTCTAGCTCGTTGGTAAATGATGAACCATACAAGTACCTACTAACAGTTTATTAACTAAGTTAATCGTAAGTTGAACGTGTAGTGATGTATGTATGAGAAAACTAAATACAGTTGTGACATACAAAACTCAATAGTAGGTAACTATGCAGCGTGAACACAAAATAGAAAGCATTCGCTGTCGGAACTAGGCATTGACGGGTGCCGTGTGATCGTCCGGCACTTGATATAAACGTCAAAGTCATTGACAACGTGAGACATTGACTAATAAATTGGTGGCAAGTTTAGCGTTTTTTTACTGTGTTCAGATTTGGAAGGGTAAGGGTGACGAAATTACAGGCACATGGGATGTCAAGTTATGTCTCAGGGGGACGGGGGCTGTACTGCCCTCCTTGTCATAATTAACGCATTTGCATTTCGGTAATAAATTTCGGAATGAGATGAGATTCGGAGATATTAGCACCTAAAGTTTCTTTTTGTGAGTAAAAAATGTCAATTACCCTAATTTTATAATTATTAATACAAAGATCAAACACTTAACAGAGATTTAAATCGCAAAGACCTGGGGGGCACTTCTACTCTGCCCTCCATCATAACTAACGTAATCGATAATTTTAGCGAAATTGAGCTATTAAAGTTTTTTTTATATCTTATTCAGTTTCAGTTATATATGTTAAGTAAAATTAGGGTATATCATAGATTTCTCATAGATGGCGGCTAAAAAGTCGTTGAAAACCAAATACAAAGATTCGACAAAAATAAGCACGTAGAAAAATTCGTGAGGTCCGCTGGTTCGTTCCGTGGCTTAGATGGCATAGCGTCTGGCACAGTTTGCTAGAAGACGTCGATTCGAATCCGGCCAGATCGAAGGAATTTTTTCTAAGAATTCGATCTTTGTTGTTAATATTTCATTATTTTAAGGGGTTGATGTTGCTCGCTTCCGCAGGTTTACCCTCGAGACCCTACAAGTGACCCCTGAGTGGTGCTAAAGAGCAATAACTACTGGTGGTAGGCTTCGGCCGTGGCTAGTCACCACCCTCCCGACGCAGTCGAGTCGCCAAATAGTTTTTACCGTGTTCCGACTCGTTTCGGGAGTTGCCATTAGGAGGTTGGTCTGAACAGTTGCATTTTGTCTGACGACGAGTTGTAGCTGCTTGTACTGCCACACTGAGCACTCGGTTCTGGAGGCTAGCGGGATCCGAAGCATGGAGCACCGCTGGCCGACTGTGGGAAGTTGGGGGCCCAAGTAGCGAGAAAGCCACCCGTGTCAAGCGTCTCAAGAACCTTGAGGCACCAAGTTTTTCTGTTTTGTGGCTTCTGGTAGACACAGGAGTTACACAAATAGTGTACTGCTGTGTTTACCGATCGCACAGTGGAGATCAGGAGACGATCAAGCTGTTTCAAAATCTGAGTGAGACGTCTGATGAGATTCAGCATAGGTACCCAGCGGCGCAACTAATAATTCTGAGGGACTTTAATGCACACCATCAAGAATGGTTGTTCTCATACTAGCACGCTGGGAGAGACACGCGTAAACTTGCGTTAACGCTAAGCCTATCTCAGCTTGTCAGTGGTGCCACTAGGATACCAGATGTTGAATCTCATACGGCTAATTGCTTGGACCTTCTGCTGACAACTGATCCGGACCGATACTCTGTGGTTCTAGATGGGTACTTCCGACCATTGTCTGGTGAAAACTGTATACGTATACTCCCCACCCGATCAGGGCCCTAGTGGTATGAGACGGGTGTGGCGATACAAGCTAGCAGATTTTGATGAAATGCGCCATTTCTTTGCGTCATATCCCTGGCAGGCAAGCATGCCTGTCAGGGATATACTTCAAGAGACTCGTTGAGCTGTGAGGATGCTGTAGTCGAGATCTTGCGTTTGGGTATGGACATACCATACTCTGGTGTACCCAATGGACCCCAAGCTCGTCCATGGTTTAACGTTGATTGTAGGTTGGGCAGATGCTCAACTACGCAAAGCTCGAAGTACTCAAAGAAAGCTTTTAATTTGGCCGCCAAGAAGGGCAAAAGCGTCTTACGTAGGGCCAAGTTCGACCATGTGCGCCGCATAGGGGCCAAGCTTGCCTATTATATAGCAGGCAGCAAATCCTTTTGGTCCCTGGTCAAACCTTTGCCACCTCTGCTGAGGCCGGATGGCTCGTTGGCTCATACTGCGGAAGAGAAGGAGAATCTCTTTGCCTCACTTTTTGAGTTCGCGTCTGGGTGCCGCAGGAAACCTACCACCTACTTTACCTCAGGCTGGCTGCACTATGGCGCCAGTTCGCATACGCCAAAAAGAGGTACTTAGAACTTTGCGAAATATAGACGTGAATAAAGCTAGCGGGCCCGATGGAATTCCAGCAATAGTCCTGCGTAACTGTACGCCTGAGTTGTCTTCTGTTCTCACACGCCTGTACCGCCTCTCACTTGAGACTGGTGTAGTTCTCAGGTCGTGGAAACTTGCAAACGTGCAACCTGTGCCAAAAAAGGGAAGTAGAGCTGACCCTGTCAACAATAGACCTATCTCAGTCACTTCCA